CGGCCTTCCTTCACTGCTCGGCTTGTGGCCAAAACCGAGGAGTGAAAGGAGCGCGGCCTTCCTTTCACCTCTCGGTTTGTGGCCAAAACCGAGGAGTGAAAGGAGCGCGGCCTTCCTTCACCTCGGTTTGTGGCGAAAGCCGAGGGGGTGAAAGGAGCGCGGCCTTCCTTCACCTCTCGGTTTGTGGCGCAAACCGAAGGGTGAAAGGAGCGCGGCCTTCCTTCACCTCTCGGTTTGTGGCGAAAACCGAGGGGTGAAAGGAGCGCGGCCTTCCTTCACCTTTCGGTTTGTGGCGAAAACCGAGGGGTGAAAGGAGCACGGCCTTCCTTCACCTCTCGGTTTGTGTCGAAAACCGAGGGGTGAAAGGAGCGCGGCCTTCCTTCACCTCTCGGTTTATGGTGAAAACCGAGGGGTGAAAGGAGCGCGGCCTTCCTTCACCTCTCGGCTTGTGGCGAAAACCGAGGGGTGAAAGGAGCACGGCCTTCCTTCACCTCCTTCCTTCACCTCTCGGTTTGTGGCGAAAACCGAGGGGTGAAAAGCCCGCGGCCTTCCTTCACCTCTCGGTTTGTGGCGAACACCGAGGGGTGAAAAGAGTGCCGCCTTCCTTCACCTCTCGATTTGTTGCGAAAAATCATCCCCTCGGTCTTGGCCACAAATCGAGAGGTGAAGGAAGGCCACGGACCTTTCAGCCCTCTGTTTTGCCCACAAACCGAGAGGTGAAGGAAGGCCGCGCTCCTTTCACCCCTCGGCTTTCGCTACAAACCGAGAGGTGAAGGAAGGCCGCGCTCCCGAGAGGTGAAGGGAGGCTGCGCTCCTTTCACCCCGCGGTTTTGGCCACAAACCGAGCAATGCAGAGCGGCTTCTGTGCAGAAGTCGGTCTCCAACAACACATGGGAATTCGCACGCAATCTAGCGCGTCACGCCACTGCAGTGACTCTTCTTGCCTTTCGTTTGTCCTGTTTTCTGATTCTGGACCGCTCTGTTTTCTGATCTGGCCCGTCATGTTTTCTTATATTGCCCGCCCTGTTTTCTGATTTTCCTGCATCCGTTGTTGATTTCGGTTTTCCGTTGTCCGATGTTTGTTTTTTGATTTGGTGCGGTGTTTCCGATATCTTCCGACCGTTTTTGCTTTTTGATATCGTCCGTACCCAAGAAAGGAACACAGCTTCACTTCACCTCCCATGCGAAAAGAGCGGAAGGAACGCGGCCTCTTCAAAACCATGGAAAAGGCAACGGCACGAAATTATATTGAAGGCAACGACGTGCCTTCACCGTTGAAGGGAGGCCGGGTTCCTTTCCCCGTTTTTGCCAGAAGGTGAAGGGAGGCCACGTTTTGTTTTGGCCACCAATCGAGCGGCCACAAGATGGGAGGTGAAGCGGTGGCGTTCCTTTCACCTGGTGCCAAAAAAGTGCCGCGAGGGCAAGCTGCCGTTGCCCTTGCCATGGAGTTGGTGCCAAAAATCTTGGCGGACTCAAGCAGCCGTTGATGGCACCATGGTTTTGGTACACAAAAAAAACGAAGAAGGAAAGAGGCCGTTGCCTCCATGAAACCACACGACGAAGGCAAGCGGCCGTCGCCTTAGTGCCATGAACACAGGGTGAACGCAAGCGGCCATTGCCTTCACGACGTACCTTCGCTATGTCTTTAGTGAGACACATGGTGAAGGCAAGTGGCCACACGGCGACGGCAAGTTGCCGTGCCATGGTGCTTAATCACATGTCTTAAAACCGGGCCCTCGTTAAGGACTGGCAGTTGATCGCAGTTCTTAAACGCGCCCGCTCATAAAGCGATGACGGTTGATCACACCACTCGCCACTGGTAGTTCTTTTGCCAGCTCTTCATTGGCAAAAGCGTTTCATCGCACCCACCCCCTCATGATGGCCACAAATTTCGAGACCTGCCTCCTCATCAAGCGATGGTCTGTGAGATCGCATATCGTAAACCCCCTTTAATATCTGTAGTGTTAAGTGATGGCGCTCGATATCCTGTTTAAGCCAACCGGAATGGCGGGTGGGCTCATTTCTCAAATTATCCCCGTCATTTGACGATGGAGTCTGATCCCATCTCTTTTCCCCACCTCATCAGACGTGGCAGTTCATCATGTTGCCCGAACCTGGCCCCTCCTGAGGCCATGGCGTTTAATCTCAACCGGCCCTTCTTTTGGCGAACGCAGTTGATCACACATAAACGTCCACATCAACAGACGATGGCGGTTGGTAAGCAAGGTCCCTGATTAGGCGTTAGCTTTCAACGCTGCCTTCTCATCAGGCGATGGCGATTTATCAAGTGTTTTAAGCCCAGCCCCTCACGCCATGGCGGTTCGTCGTCGGTCGCGGTCGTGTTGCTGGTTGGTCGTGCATGTGTTTGCGACGACGGTTGTCGTCCTCGTTGTATGCAGTCTGCGTAGATGCTGTCCTCGTAGTTGTTGTAACTCAACGGTCCGCTTCAAGGCTTGCGAATGATCCGTTCGCTGGCTTCCGACTCCGAAAACTTTGAAACCTTTGCTCCGAAACTGACTTGATTTGTTCCGAAACTCGGGCCAAACTGATTTTTTAAAACTGGCCGAAACAGCGGGCACCCCCCTTTTGCTGGCTCCGCGCGCAGGCGATACGGAGGTGGCGCCCAAGGGCCGCCCTGCACGGGCAGAAGCCAGCCACGCCATGGCTCCCCCAGAGAAGGAGGCGCCGCAGAGAGCCGCAGAGTCCCAGAGCCGAGCGGCGCCCAGCCGCCTTTTTGCGCAGGCGCCAGCGGCCAGCGAGGATGGACCTGGAGCGCGGCGGGCTTCCTTGAACCTCCCTGCAGGGAGCTTGGACCGAGCAAGGGGTCCTGTGGGTCTCTGTGGTTTTTCTTTTAATTTTTACCTCTCGAGGTTTCGGAGCCCAAGCCGTGGGCTCAGCGGAGGTCGAGCGCAGGTGGGAGAAAGCTGCATTGGCACTTCTCCTTGCAGGAAGAAGACCTCCCAGGTCCCCGCATCAAAAGTGTGCTGCTCCCTTCCCCTGCAGAAATTCCCTTTTTGCTTTTCTGCCAGGCGGGGGCATCGGCCGGAGGTTCCCGCAGATCTAATGGCCCGGCTCTCAGCGGCTGATCGCGGTGGGAGGGCAGGAGGAGTCCTCGGTCAGCGGATCCCGCTGTTGCAGGAGAGGCGGCTAGTACGGCCGCGGCCACGGGTGGCATCGTGGGCTTGACGGAGATCTCGCCCAGTGTGGGGGGCACTAGAACGAGAGCCAAAGAGAGAAGAGCTGCAGATCTTTGTTGAGGGGTCCGATGCGGCGGGCAGGTCGTGGGCGCCACCTTGGGTGCGACCTTGGAGGAGTTTGGAGCTGAGCAGAGCCGAGACTGAGACCGATGCGATGCTCCGAAGTCCTTTCCGCCGGCCCTTCCGCGGCCCGCACACGCGGAAACACGCGCGCTTAGCATATTTCGCTGAGGCCGACCATGCAGGCACCGCCTCCCAGAGCGCAGGCCCGCCCGCCCCCCGAGCTCCTCAAAACCGGTCTATGCCTACCCCCCTTTTTGGTCGCAGTCGAAGAAGAAGAAGGAGAAGCCTGTCTCCAGTGCGCGGGTGCCCAGCGGGTCAGTGGAAGGAGAGGGCAGAAGCAGGGCGGAGGGCGTTGCACGCTGAGGCGAAAGCGGGCCTTGGCCTTCAGCAGAGCCAGGGGCAGGACCTGGTGGATCAGCTCGTCAACGATGCCCCTCAGCGAGAAGCGCGTTACGGCTCCCTCCTCCCGCTGCCGCTGCCTCCTGGCGCCTTGAGGTGATCCCTGTGCCCAGATACATCCACTTCTACTGGATCGTCCGCAACCAGCAGGACAGAAGCGAGTGTGGAAGAAGAGCAAAAAAGATAGCAGACGTTTTGACGAAGCGCGCGGCACGCGCACTCGCGCGCGTGAGGAACTGGACTGGTTCTACGATTTGTTGGCCACGGCCGTGGAGGGCCCTGCCAAGGCTGGGTAAAACGCTTCCCCTTTCGCCCTCTTCGCCCCGCCGGTGCCTCGCATTATCGCCTCGCAGGACCGCATCGAGGTGAACCTCTTCACCACCGGTGAGGCCCGCGTGACGAGCCGGCTTGCGGGGGCCCTGGCGAAAGCGCCCAATGCTTTGTCGGTAGGTGGAGCTCTCGGCGGTGAAGGAGCTGAAATGCCCCGCTCACAGGACAAATTCCGACAGAGAGAGTTCCACCTCTCTGACTCTGAGGCGTGCACCACCAGTACTTCGGGCGTCCGAACTGGGGCCGCATCTTCAAGGGCTGCAAGGCGAAGGGAGAGAGAGAGGGAGGGAGGAGAGAGCTCAGAGAGCTTCTGACCTCTTCACAGGCCCAGCACTCGGGTGAACACGTCGGCGTCTTTCTCTGCGGTTCCCCCATCATCGGAGAGGAGCTCTCGCGCCAGAGCTGCTCGACGCAGTTGCTGTACTCCGTGGGATACTTCGTAGTGTTTTCTTGGGGGGCACATGTCGTGAGATTCCGAGGCCTGAAGCACAGCGACCCGCCAGAGCACTCGCGGGGAGACCTAAAGAGGCAAATGTGAGCAGTCGGAGAGCTGTTAAGATGAGCCTGAGGAACCGAACCCGCTTCTCCTTCTTCAAGGCACTTAAGAGAGACCTGCTGCTTGGGCTCTTGCTCTCAGCAGTTCACTCTGTCAGGAGCACTTCTGACCTTACGGCCAAGGCGCTTTGCAAAGGGATATCCCAGAGCCAGTAACCGACTCACCCTTGAAGACGTATGGGAACTCCTCCTTCGGCCAAGGCTGCAGCAGGCGCTGGCCAGTAGCGCCAAAAGGCTCCTGCCAGTCGCGTGTAGCGGGTTCCCTCAGCGGGGCCCGCGCACGCGGGAGGTCGAGGCCATGGCTATAAAACCCCATGAGACATTTTTCTATAAGGCTTTGAGATATCGATTTGTTGACAGCAGCTTCCTGGCTTGTGGTCATTTCCCGACTCGTCGAAATATTTATGGCAGTTCCTGTACAGCTGCCGGTATCGCCCAGTGCGAAGCACTGCTGCGCGTTGGAACGGACTGGTGAGGGCCATGACTCCGCTTGGGGGTGGGTGGCCAAAAAGCACGCTTACACCCAGCGTCATGCAGCGCAGCTGCGGTTGTGCGAAGCTCGGTTTGGGGTGTGCTCTTCTGTTCGCCCGTCGCTTCCCTTTTTTGGCGCAGCGGTAGGGAGATTGGGGGGGCCTTCGCCTCGAGCTTTCGCCATGGGGTCCAATGGGCCCGGGCGGCCCAGGCCCAGGCGGCTGGGCCTTGGCGGGCCTGGGCCACTGCGGATCGCAGAAGCTCCAAGGCTTGGAGACGAATCTGCAGCTCTGCCTCCGGCGCTGCCAGGAGCCGACGAAGAAAGAGCCCCTTTACTTTTTTGATAATTTTAGAGCCCAATATAGCCGCGCCCCCACGGTCTGCGAAGTCTCTGCGCAGGAGCTTGCGCGCTGCTCCCACGTCTCCTTCTTGGACGCGACGGTGGTGAAAGAGGAAGGAAGCCGGGGCTTGACCTGGGGACTCTGCTGGATCTACGCTGCGTGCCCCCAGCTCCTCAGCACTTTGCCCGGCTTTGCCACCTTTCGCAGACAGCGTCCTAACGGCAAGGCCAAGGAGCAAGTTCCCAGGCAATCCCCCTCTGCCGGCCAATGGGGAGCGGCAGTGGTCGCTTCGACCGCTTTCTTTTCGAGCCCGCCTAAAGAGGCGCAGTCAGTGCAGGTGACCTTGGCGCTCAGCCCCTCGCTGGCGGAGTCCGTGAGCGAAGATCGCTTCGAGCACCGGCAGCTCTGCGTGGCGCCTCTTCGCGGAGCGAACCCGAGGCTCCTGGCGAAGGCTCCCGGGGACTGCGAAGAGGAGGAGCTGGCTCTCTTCGAGGTGAGACGAGCGGCTCCTCCCGGGCCTCGGCCTCGGAAACAGGTGGGCCCCCATGAGTTGGTCTCCGTTCTCGTGGAGATCTCCTGGAAAGGCTACAAGCTCTGCGCGGAAGCGGAAGAGGAGGAGATCTCCTTGTCTCGCTGCGAAGGGCCGTTGCAGTCCTCGCTTTGGGAGCTCCAGAGGGCCGGCGAGGGCCACGAAACCCTTCCCAGCGAGCCTTGCCTCTGGCTCAAGAGCGCTGAGGGCCAGCGGGACGACAGGAGGGGCGAGCGCTACTTGGCCCTGCAGGACCAGGTGGCGTGAGACGGAGGTGCAGTGTTCAAGTCTTGCAAGGGAGCCCCGTGTTAGTGAGAAGAGAAGAGAAGTAAGTAGCTAGCAGTTATATATAGAGGTTTAAAGAGACAGGAGAGCGGAGACTCGGAGACTGTGTGGGGGGGGGGGGGCAGCGGCTCCCTGCGCTGCGATCGCTTCTCGCAGGACTCCGAGCGGCTGCAGCTGCTCAGCGGGCTTCGGGGCGGGGGTTTCTGCTGGCACTTGGGGCAGCAGCAAACTTGGACGGAGCAGCACTTCGAGGAGCCTGCGGAGGCGGAGTCCTCCTCCTCCTGGGCCTTCGGAGCAGCGGAGAGGACGGAGACGACGGAGAGGACGGAGAGGACGACGGCAGCGGTGGTGGTTTGGCTGATGGCCTCGAAGAGCTACCGCTTCGCCCTGGAGAGGTTGCTCAGCTCCTTGAGGCAGGCAAAGGAGGCTGTGAGAGTGCAGGTGCGCTGGGTGCCGGACATGAAGGACACAAGGAAGGAGGGCTTCAAGCTCATGGGGACCGAACTCTCGCCGAGCTACAAAGTCTTCTACTTCAACTACGCCAAGTACCTCTTCCTCTTCGAGGCCGGCCACCGCCCCTGAGCGCAGCAAGCGCAGGGCTCGGGGTTCGTGGTGTGTGCTCGGAGGCTTTGCTGGAAGCTGAGACGGCCGAGGAGACGCCGCTGCTGGTGGTCATGGACTTGGACCGCTCTAGAAGAATGCAGCCGCTGTTGCACGCACATAAGTCTTGTTGAGGTTAGCTGGAATTGAGGTACTGAGAACCTCAGCGGGTGCGTCAAGTTGCACGTCAAGAAATGCTGAAAACAACTTCTTGTCGGCTGAAACCGTTGAAGATGCTGAATCCGGAAGTCTCATCGGCGGTTGACGTGTTTGCGCAAAGCACTGTGCCATCCATGAACGTATGAAGCCCCAAGAACACCTAGCAGCACTGGCCCAAACTTGTTTCGCCTGTCACTGTACACTTGGCTGGCTAGGGCTGGTGAGAGCGTGTCAACTGAAGTTGAAGACACTGCGGCTGAAGAAAGCTCCTCTTCAGGGATTTCAGTGCGAATCTCAGAGTTTCGTGCGCCGTTTGTGAGCAGCCGCCGCCCCGGCCACGAAGAAGATGATTGTAGCTGCTTCTTGCTGGGGTGTTGGAGAAGTCCCCATGTTGTAAACAAACTCGCTATATAAGCTACCCATTGCCCGGCCCTACCCTTTGCGCTACTGGCCTTTGCCCTGCCCTGCGGCCGCAGGACGTCCAGGTCTTTCCGGGTTGGACGAGCACTCTGCGGCGCTGCCTTGCAGATGATGGGCTGAAGCAGAGCGAAGAGGAAGAGGAAGACGCGGACGAGGAAGCGCCGGAAGGGCCTGCGCCTTGGCAGGCTGCGCCGTGGCAATCGGGGGCGGACGTGTGCTTCTTGCAGCAGGCGGCTTTTGGGGACGGGCGCTTGCAGCAGGCCAACAGCGGTGTCCTGGTCTTCGGTAGCGGTAGGAAGACGAGGACGAGGAGGAGGAGGAGCTCTTCCCTGGGTCGCTTCGGCGGATTGCTGGGTGCCTTGGTGCAGCGGCTGCAAAGCCAGGAGATCTTGGCACGGCTGCTGCCGGAGGAAGAGCCGGTGGCCTTCGAGCAGCTGCATTTGAACTACGTCCTGAACTTCATCCGAAAGCGAGCGGAGGCGGAGGCGGAGCAGGCGGAGCGGGTGCCGCGGCTTCTCCGCTGGGGGATCTACTCGCCCTTGGTGGCCTACGCCGGGATGTTTCTGACACACGCCGTCCTCACGGACACGGTGCACCACGCCACGGCCAGCAATGTGAATCTGAAGGAGAAGCTCCGGTTTCTGGAAGCGGCCAAGCTCATGTCGGAGGATTTCAGGCAGCTCTGCCCACTGAACTTTGAGGGGAAGCTCTCTCAAAGCGGGCCTCTGGAAGAGTTCTGCTTCTACTTCACGGCCAAAGATCCTCACTTCGGGCCTTTGCTCCCGCACCACAAGCTTTTTCAGGGCTTCTCGGAGGAGGACAACTCCAAGGTCCTCGACCATCTCATCTCCAGGCCAGCTGCTGCAGTGTGCAGCTGCTGCAGTGTAGCTGTTGCGAAGTGTGTTGTCATTCTGTCATTCTTTTGTTGTAATTTCAGCTCTAGACGTCTGAGACGTTCTCTTTCCAGGGCGCAAGGCCGCAAGGCCTGGATCCAGCTGATCATCCACTTCAACGAGCGCGCCTACAAGCGCTGGTGCAAGGCACGGCAGAACACCTCGCAGACGCTTCGACAGCTCCTGGAACTGCCATACTGAGGGTTTTCACTGGCGGAAAGAAGGCGAAGAGCCCGAAAGAGCCCCCCCCGGGGCCATGGTCGCCCGCGCGCGCGGGGCGCATCGCCTCTTCTTGGACGGCCTCGCCTTCGCCCGAGGAGGCGCCCGCGGACTCCGAAGACTCCAAGGAAGAAGAGCGTTGCTGCCTCTGCCTTGCTCAGGCTTACATATAGATGGTGTGACAATGGTGTGTGTATGTATATATATATACATACATATCCCTTCGGGTTCATTTCTCACGGCCTCATTTGCGACGCGTTGGCAACTCTTGGACTTTTAGGCCAACATGGCATCACTACATGGGAACGCAATTTCAGCGTCATTGTCATCGTCGTCGTCGTCGTCACCGTACTTTTGTATGTCCACTCTAATGTCCCCACTTTGTTCGGTTGTTTGCGGTTACTTGTCATTATTTATATGCCTGTGCGTGTGCATGCATGTTCAGACCAGAAATGCAAATTGTGCACGTACTCTGCATGCGTGCATGCACGCAGGAGCGTATAGATGCATGTGCGGCGTGTGGATAGATGTATGTGTGGATGTATGTATGTGTGTTCCCCCCTCTGAATCTTATATATATAGTCAGTCGCCCAAGACGAGAAGGTGAGCTTCGGTGTTGCTTGAACCTAGAGCGAAAACCTGTCGTAACTCTGACAACATTGACCTTGGTACATTTTCAAGACTCCAACAGCTGCAACTGCAATATTCTTCCTGTATTAAGATCGTCTCATGATGTGGAAGGTGCCCACGAGATGCTGCGAATGCGCGCAGAACGAACATTTTCGAGTGTCCGGCATGCGCTCGAAACAAAGACTACCTCGCGCGCCCGACCGGAAATCCCAAGCACAGAATGCCCATCACAACTATTCCAGGCTGTCCGGGACAGTTTTCCGTGCACCCGCATTGTGAATTGGCTCGAGCTTGACGTATAACCAATTCGTCATCACTCCTTCTGGATGTCGAGATTGGACAGCATGCAGCCATCTTGCCTCAGAGCGACGTTGGGTGGCACTTCTGTCAAGGCATTGACAAGAGTCCACAAATCGCCACATTGCTTCGCCATGGCGGACGACTGTTGTGGGGATGATCACCTGAGTTAAGAGATTTTGGATTCTGGAGATCTAGTATGATATGTTGAGACAAGGTGGCTTCACTGGTGTGAAAACGCACTCAGCCGCCAGCTTGGCTTCCGAATTGGTGCAGACACGCAGCGCCCATCAATTGCGTTGACTCTGAGGTGCGTGGTGTGCGCGCGAGAGCGTCCCTGCGAAAGGGGCAGCAGCCTTGAGCACGTTGTCATTGAATGCGGTTAGCCGTGGAAGCACTGCAGGCAACGGCAAGGCCCCACGAGAGTTTTGCAAGTTGCAAGCGGCTGGGCGACGAGTGCCTCATTGCCTGGCCATGTAAGTGAGTGAGGGCCTGCCAGCTGCCAAGGTTTCAGCGGGAGATTTCAATGATGGGGCCGCTGGGCATCGTGCGCACACCTCAAAAAACCAGCCTTTTATGATTCTTTGGCCTTTGAAGCCGGCCTTGGCAGGGTGGAGTCCAAGTCGAGCGACGTAGCTGTTTTGATCCAAAAGACGTGGTAGGGTTGCTGCTGTCAGCTTAAGTTGTTGACATCGGAGCCATCTTTGAGTTTTTGACCAGATAAAAATTAGCGCGCACCATCGCCCACGACCGTGACATGACGAGGCGTTCTGATAGCATGAGCTGTTGCCAGGGCTCCGTAGCAGCCGTAGCACTTCCTGTCATGATGTCAGGCTCGTGTACTGCACGCTTTGCATTTCAGCGTGACTACAAATTGTACGTACTTTCCGAAGTCCATTCAATTTTCGCGGCCTTTGCATTGGGAGGGCAAGGAATTGCGCGAGGTGAGACACAGTGGCGCCATGGTCGGCCACGTTCGCCCGGGACTTGATCGTGCAGGCTTCCGCAAGCAGCGGATTGCCAGACGGTCAAGCTGCGCCTTGTCAATCAGGTCGGCGATGTGCTCGGAAGTGCTTCGGAGACTCAAGACATACATGGCGCACTAGACACTAGTCACTAGACATTTGAACTGGGGGTGTCGTTGCTCAAACGGACAAGACTGATCTTTGAGCACGGCCGTGCCAACATGCGTTTTTTCCATGGGCATTTCTTGGTGAGGACCGGCTGAAGGGGTCATTATGTTGGCGAAGCACCCGTTGAAAAGGGCCTCAAGCAGGCTTCCTTGCGCCACCAGCCGAAGAGTTTTTCGAGGGATCGGCTGCAAACCGCGGCCGGTCGCGTGCGCGACGGGCAACTTGAGACTCTGCGACGTAATTTTCAGACGCTTGCCCTGAGCATTGTTTGAGAATTAATTTGTATAGAATGTATTTTCCGAAACCCTGAATTGATCCCTGTTCGTAGCAACCAACCTTCCGTTCATGTGGAAGTAACCTTCTGACCTTTTCGCTTGGAAGCGGTTATATGCTCCATGAAAAGTGTAACGGCGAAGGACAGCATTAGTGAGGTAGCACTCCAGCTCCTGCAGCAAATGCACCCATGCCTGGCAAATGCTCTGCAGCACACAGCAGCTGACAACACAATCGACTGGCCAAACATGCAGCACTCAACCTATGCTTACTGCCCCTCAGTGTGAACATGCAGGCTAAACAAGCTTTGCTGCTTTCGCGACCGCCCTGAATGGGACATTGAGGGTTGACTGTTTGATTGTAGACATCGCTACTCAGCACTTAACAGTGTAGTTCCTGGAATTCGGTTGTGCCCAATTGCGGCCCTCTTGCATCATGCTTGGTTTCACACCGCCGGCCCATTGCAGCGATTGCATCCTGATAGGAGGCCCCGTCGAAATTATGTCTTCTGACAGTTCTTTGTGGAGAGAACTGAGCGGTGGCCCAGACAAACCTTGCAGCGACAAATGCGGCAGTAAAGCCCAAGCTTAATGATGGGGCCGCCTCTCGCTAGCAAACGCGCCGTGCTAGCCTCAGGGCATTGGCATACGTGGTCACTCATCGGGCCACGCATTTTGACTCGCGCCTGTTTCGTACCACAGCCGCGGCGAACTTCCGTCAACACCACAGCATCTCTCCTAGTATGCACTGACCGGCAGATCCAGAGCGGCTCGTTTGACGCGCGGGGCCGACAATGAGCGGATTGGGGCGAAGTCACTGTTTCGGTTGTCATGGCTTGTCGTGACAATTTGTTTGGGTTCGGTAGCTCATTACAACGAATTCCACGGCCATGCCATTGCGCACAGTTTGATGACACAGCGGTTTCCGAGTTTTCTTGTTATAAATCTTATTAATCCAAGTGCACCCGCTTTGCGGATTGGCTCCAGCTTGACGTGCGCAGTAGCGTACAGCCGGATAAAAACCGGTCTGTGGACTGGGGAACATGTCAGAGTCTGGATCGCCCTCGTTTGTTCCGGGCTCAGCACATGCAAACCCGGAACCATGAAAGCTGGCAGCCCGCCCGTGGGGCCAGGTGGCAACAGCCAGCAGTACTTGGTCATCGCCGCAGAGGCCGTGCCGTGGTTTCCAGTGCTGCGTGCTTCACAGGTCCCAAGGCCCAGAACCCCTTGGAGACATTGCACACCCTGTGCAAAACACATTTATTCACTTCAAGGTTGGGCAGCGAAAGGGCTTTGCGCCGTGCATGTGCTTGACCTGATCAGACTCCTTCCGCGGATACACTCCGCCGCTCCAAAAGCGCGTCGCCGCCTTTCATCCAGACCTGCCGCAGTTTGCTTGCTTGTTATGGCTTGCATGCTTAACCGCCTGCTTAAGGCCAGCTGCATTGTGTTCGTTGACGTCTGCAGCGTCCAAGGTCTCGGGTCCCCGGGGCAAGACTTGTGAACCTGTGAGACGCGAGGAGCTGTAGGTCCAGTTTTGGCGATTTCTCGATCGATCTGATGCCTTTCCTGTCTCATTAGACAACTCCGCCTCATAACGTCACAGATGTTGGACAAACTGATGGAAAAAGTGTTAGCAAGATCTCATGTTGCCAAGCTCGTTTCAGTGCAGGGGAATTCAGGTTTCTGGACCCACTGGACGTGAGCGAACTGTCCGGTCCGTCATCCAACCCAGCCTAGGAGTGAATCAGATTGAGCAGCATGCGAAACCCCTGAACCCCCCGGAACCCCTCCCCCGCCCGCAACCCCTCCCGGAAGCCAGTGAAGCCGCGGGCGCCGTTCGTGAGCTGTGGTTTGTTCGACCGTTTTTAAGGCTCGCTAACGAGTTTGGATGAGCGTGCCTACTAATGAATCTATCAGCTCTTCCCAACAAAAAACACAAGACAAGCAGCGCTCCTGGTAATCGCTGATGCTGCCGTTCTCGCCGACCTGTTGCAACACAACATGCTTCAAAGGAAAATAACACGCCTGGAACAACAATTTCATACCTTCTCTCCTCGATGGTCAGGGTGGAGCTCCTCCACGGGAAAAACTCTGAGCTCAAACCAAGATCCTAGCAAGAAAAGCAGCGCACCTCATCGCGCGTTTCCTGCGAATGTGCCTGAAGCAGAACAGATGCACTCATGGATACACACAAACTGAAGGAGGAAAATTTTTCATACCTTTGGCGAGTCTGATTCTCCAGCTGCTCGATGTCGCAACCGCTCCTGACACTCCAGCAAACCCACAGCTACATGAGCCTGGTGGCCAAGCCTAGCTTCGTGCCTCCCGAAAAATGGCGGCTTCTGCCGCTGCTTCCCGCCTTGGGGAGGGTCAACCATCAGGACACATTGGTGCAGCAACAGCAACAACAGCAGCATCAAGCCACCGCCGGCTTTCGGGCGAAGGCGTTAAAGAATTGCCTCGCCGCCGCGGTCGCGGCCTGAAGGTAAAACAGGTTGACGCCTGGGACACAACACCAGACCACACTTAGGCACTGGCAGATCCCAAGCGCGACGGAGTGCATGGTGAGGATATAGGATTTAGGGTTTAGGGATTAGGGATTACGGTTTCTCGGTTTGGGGCTTGGGGGTTTATGGTTTTTTTATGGTTTAGGATTTAGGATGTAGGAGAATGGGTTTAGGATTTAACACCCGAAAGCCCGCTCCGATCCTCTCGTCCTACGTCTCCCTCCAACCGAATTCGGGTTCGTGGAGTTCGAGGGGTTCCGGGGCGTACCGGGTGTTTCTGGGAGTCCAGCCAGACACATTCAGAAAACCAAATTGAAGTTCACCCCCAGCAGTGGCAACCCTAAACCCTAAACCCTGGAATCAGTTAAAGTTATAAATAGAGATGCATTGATTTTCAGCTCTAGTTGCAGTTGCCACTGTATCCATAGGTGTAGCGGGACGTGTTTTTTGGTTGGGCCTTCCTCGCATTTTCCGAATAAACGGATGTCAGGGTTATGCGAACTTTGTGGGAATTACAGCTGTCGGATAATGTGGTTTTACCTGGTTGCGGACGGCAGTTGGACTCACCCCTCAAACCCGAAACCCAAACCCTAAACCTTCACCCGAAGCCCTAAACCTTCATTGTCTAAAACTTAAACCCTAAATCCTAAAACCGAAATTCTAAACCCTGGATCCTAAACCCTAAACCCCAAACCCTGAATCCTACATCCTAAACCCTATAAATCCTAAACCGTAAATCCTAAACCCTACGCCATAAAACCTAACCTAAACCCTTAGCCCTAAACTATGAATCCTTCAGCCCGAATCACGAAGTCTTAAAAAAGTCCCAGAGCATCATTTATGCATGTAAGTAGGTAGGTAGGTAGGTAGGTAGGTAGGTAGTCGGTGGGTGGGTGGGTGGGTGGGTGGGTGGGTGGGTAGGTAGGTAGGTAGGTAGGTAGGTAGGTAGGTAGGTGGGTAGGTAGGTAGGTAGGTATGTAGGCAGGTATGTATGTAGGCATGTATGTATACGCATATATATGTATATACAAGGGATGTATGTATACATATAGAAGCATATATATATATACATACATACATACATACACATTTATATACATATACATATACATATAGACATATATACATTTATATACACTTATATACATATATATATATATATATGTATATACAAGGGATGTATGTAAAGTAAAATTCCAAGGCCGGTGTATGTGTCTATGCACAATGCATTATGCTATACTGGACTATACTATGCTATGCTATGCCATGCTATACTGTGCTGTATGTTAATATACTGTATGATAACTGTACCATACTCTAAGGGAGACAGAGAGGGCGGCAGAGGGAGGCGTGAGTCAGTGTGTGCATGCGCGTGTCTGCAAGACATCTGGAACATACTTTCCTCCATATACGCATATAGGTATATATGTACGTATACACACATATACATATATACACATATGCACATACATCCTTATGTAGGGATATATATGTGTATGTATATATATATACATATGTATGTATAGTTTGCGTTAGTCTGTGCTTTGCATGCGCTTTTGGATTCAGATCTACGTCGATACGTTGCTCCTTGCCTTACCTTTGTGACACGTGCGGCTGTTTTGAGGGATGGCAGCGCCATAGCAGCATCACAGCATGTCTTAGCTCTTCGCTGCGCCGCATGGAGCTGCCTTGCCGGACGCCTGGCACGCGCCTTGAGGCACCGCGGACTGCGGCCCCAGCAAAACTTGTGGGGATTGGGAGCGCGGAGAGGGCCCTTTTTGGGCGCAGCCGAGCGAGCCTCTGCCTGGCGGGAGTTGTCGGCTTTATACGGTGCAGGGCCAAAGGCCGCCGCAGCCTGGCCAGCAGGGCCAACGCCCAGCCCAGCAAGTCCGAGGCGCCGCTGCTGGGACGCAGCGGGCGGTTTTGGCGGTCCTTGGATTGGCGGAGATGGCACTGGAGCAGCGAGCCGCAGCGTCCAAAGCTCCGAGCGGAACTGCCACCAAACCCGTGCAACGGCAGCGGCAGCCCGGCGGCCCGGCTCCGTGAAATCTCCGAGGACGAGGAGCGGGAGAGCCACACCGCCTACCCCAAGCTCCCCCGGCTCCTGTCTGCGCAGGTCCGTGAGTTCGAGGAGTTTGGGGTGGTGCTGCTCCGCAATACCATCACCGACTGGGCGCCACGGCCACCACGCGAGTCCTTGAATTTTTTGTTTGAGGGGGAGGGCTCCTTCCGCAACCCAGAGCGAGCATGAAAAGATATAGGGAGCTCTGACGACACGAGCTGGAACATCAGCGAGAGGTAGAGTCATGTGGAGTCTAGAGCCTCCCCGTCAGTCCTTTCAGCCCGTGTGCGCCACTCGTCTCTCGCCTCTCTGCAAGGTGCCTTTCTTGAAAGAAGCTGTGGAGCACCAGATGGAGCACCCGCAGGCCTCCTGGCTCTCTGCATCTTTGAGCACGCGAAAGCACGCGTTTTCCGCACACCCCCTGCCACCCTTGGGCATGAAAAGAGAGAACAGTGAGGTGTCGGCCTTCGTCACGGGCCTGCGGAGCTTCTTCTCCATGGACTACGTGCAAGCGGGGCTCTTCCTGACCAACGACCGCTTCTTCGACTTCTGGAAGAGCTCCAACCTGCCGGCCCTGGTGGCCCAGCTCTTAAGGCAAGGCTCGAAGAGAAGAGCCCAGAAAGGGGGCGGGCACCCCACATGCCTTCCTGCCGTGCAAACCTGGAGGTGCGAGGAGGTGCGTTTGATCGTGGACCAGCTGAACGTGAACCCGCACTGCCCCCCGCCGGGACGCCCGGAGAGCCGCCGCGCCACCCCTGAGAGGATGTGCTGTTTGTGTCCCGCTTTCCGCCTCCGAGGTTCACGGAGCCGGAGAAGTTCCACACCGATGCGCCGGGCTCGGAGTGGGGGCGGCAGCCAAGAGCCAGGAGACAGATAGATCATCATCATAGCTCTCGCTCTGTTTCTTTCTTTTTGGTCTGAGGTGGGGGTGATCTCCGCGGTGGCCCGAGCGGAGGAGGTGGTCCGCGTCTGGATCCCACTGGAACGCAGCGCGACGCGGAAAGGCATCGGAACCTTGGAGTTCAAGCTCCAAAACGGAGAGCGCCGGAGGTTCGAAGAGGTGGAACCTGGAGATGTGCTCATCTTCACGCCCACGATCCCTCATCGTGTGCTCTTCCCTGAAGACGACGTCTACGAGGAAGACCGCTGCGTGGTCATCGCAAGCCTGCATGGCTCCGTGAAGACGGGCCCGCGAAGCTCGGAAGATCCCATGGAAGCTCGGCCCAAAATGCTCTGAGAGAGAGACCTCTCCTCCTTTCTTTGTTTCTGTTCCCACCCTTTGTTCCACCCCCCTCTAATTGAGACAGTCTCAGCTTTTCAGTTGCCCCTTTCCTGCGCTCTCTGAGGCGGTGCCCGAGTTCCCGCGGCTCTTTCCGAACGTGGACGAAGCAGAGCTCCGTGCGCGCTGCGAGAGGAGGCCCGGGCTGAGAGGGAGAGGGAGAGAAAGAGAGAGGTGCTCACAACTACTTCTGATTCTAGGGCGATGCCAATACCTGCTGGATGCCTCGTGCTACCACCAGTAGTGCTCCCCGCTATGCCTTCACAAGCTTGTGCGCACCACCGAAGACTGGAAAACCAAAGCGTACATCGTCAAGCTGTCCTGCAGTCAGACGGGGTGAGACACGGAGGACCAGATACGTCGTTCTCCACGGCAATGGACCAGACATTGCATGGTGGCACCTGCCCAAGGGCAAGTCGTTGGCTTTGCCAGGTTGCCAGCATGCCCCCAAACTGTGGGGGCTTACATGGACGATACCTACCTTTGGAATGAAGATCGGGAACAACTCCAGAAGTCCTGAAAGTAAATGCAGTCCACACTGACCTGGGGCAGAAAGGCCTGCAAGTCAATCAGAAGATTCGCGTAATCTGCTCGGAACCGGGCGAACCTCCCTTCCTCGCGTAGGGGGAAACCTGTCAAAGTGGGAGGACCGGAGGAAGTCATGACAGTACTTGGGGCCACTTCTTTTTGAGGGGGGGGGGGCATCAGCCATCTCACGGCTGACATGCAAATTAGGGCCGCTCCAGAAAGTGCTCTATGCGAAAAGTCCCATGGGTGGCGCGTCTCGTAATGCTCACCGCCCAAGTCAGGGGGTCTGCCCTTTGGGCGTGCCATTTGCAAGTTTAGGTTCATATCTTGAAGGTTTCAACGACGGTCCGCCTGAAGCTTCGAGTTGAAGCTTTGAATCCTTCGGAGGTAAGAAAGAGACTTGCAAGGCCCTTGCAAGGGTTTTGGACCTGCTCCATCTTCTCGTTCCCCTCATTCAATCTAGCAGCCTCATATCTTGAAGCTGCCTCCGCGGGCGATGCCTGCCTCATGCTGAATCGGGCTTTGGGTTTCCTGAATCGCTTTCAGTTCCCGAACACTCTCCGTAGCTTCCGATGTGCACACATGGCTACTTCAGTTGCAGGGGGAGACGTGTGATGTGCGTGCAGCATTCACGATGCTCAGCCTCCGGTGCATGAAGACTGACCGGAGTGTGGTCTAGTCGTGGGTTGTTGCGTCAACCGTTGTAAAGGCAAACAGGCTGAACAAGTAGCAGATGCAGCCGTCGTGTCCCGGCTTGGGAAGCTTACTATAGTTGGCTTGAGCGCAGCTTGAGCGCGACTATTCCCACGGTTGTCAACACACCCGAGCGGAAGAGCGAGAAAAGCAAAGCGACCGGGCCCCGGGCCCTTTGGGCGTCCCGAGAGCGGCCCATATCTCGGGCTTTGACGGTGGCCGGGTCGGGGAGTCGAATACATTCACACTGCACACCAGCTCGCCACATGCAGCTGCAGCACCAATCCCTGTGCAGCCCCCGACCAGCCCAGCAAACCGGGCGCGAGTAAGAGGGGCTCCTGTTGCTATTTGACTGGTGTTGTATCCTTATATCATTATCACCGGCACCACAATTACATCACGTCAGGCAAGGTACGAATCTCCATGATAATCTTCATGGCGAGTTTTGATCATCAGCTTCATCATGGACGCTGGTCATGCACTGTAGCAGCAGCTGCCTCCCGGTCGTCCGTTCCAATTGCCGGCCCATCCCGTCACGAGGCTCTACAGCAGTGCAGAACGATACTTCGACTTGTGGGGAAGCCCCTTCACACTGGCAGACGTCCCGGCCTCAGACAAGCGTCGAATTCACCTCTGGGCTTCTGTGGACCAGCAGGAGTGGTTGCAGTTCATCACCTACGATTCCAAGAAGACCTAAGAGAAGATGCAGTGCGTAGGAGCTGGGCTGAAGTGTGAGGACGGAGGAGTAGCTCAAGAGCTCCGGAGCTCCCCCGCGGAACGTCAGCACCGCGAAGGAAGCGTCTTCCGCACCGCTTGCGAAGCTCTTGAGCGGCGCTCAGCGCTCGCCTTGGACCAGGAGAACCTTGTGGGGCACGCAAGACGCTTGTACCGAATCTGCCTGCAGAAAAATGGTCGTGTCGCTGGAGGGCTTGCAATTGGAAACAGCTACTGTGACAACGGCTTCTCCGCTTCTGCAAAGCCGAGTAATGATCAAGGCAACGGTAACGAAAGTCTGCGAAAGCCAGCGGCAGCGAGTAGCGCAAATCGCAAAGGTCGTCTCGTGTTGGGTCTTAGGAGTACGTTGGTGCGTTGAAAGCATGTGATCACAGAAGTCCACGAGACCTCTTCTAGCAAGCCTGCGCTGTTTCGCCGATTCGCTGTCGCAAGCACCGCCGAGCGTCTGTCGCTCTGGTCTTGGCCTTAGACTGTCTGAGAAGTTAACGAGTTAACGATTGTCGAGGAGGGGAGATGGTGACAGCGGCACTAGTCTGTTCGTCGCACAAGTAGAGTCACCACCACTATAGAGCCTACTCCTGCTGCCCCTACTACAAGTCTTGCCGCTACGGGACTGCTGCTGCTGCAGCTGCTGCCGTGAAATGCAGCCTTGCTCAGGAAATATACTACTGTACCTTGTTGACAGCCTTCGACGGACCTCCAGAATGTGCTGGAAAAAACCAAGTGAAAACGCGATTGATGACATGAACTCGCTTTTCCTATCCAAGTAAACCAGTTTGATGTTGACATGTTACACAGCATTCTGGCAGCAAACGAAGTCGATGGTCCCTAATGCTACTGCTACTGCTACTGCTACTACTGCTTCTGCTGCTGCTGCTCCTGCTCCTGCTGCTACTACTACTACTACTACTACTACTACTACTCCTACTGCTGCTGCTGCTACTACTACTCCTCCTCCTACTACTACTACTCCTCCTCCTGCTGCTGCTGCTGCTACTACTACTACTACTACTACTACCACTGCTACTACTACTATTGCTACTACGACTACTACGACGACGACCACCACCACGACCACCACCACCGCCACCACCACCTCGATATGTTCCAGATTTTGATTTCAACAATTACGAACCGATGGGCAAATGGTAGCCTTACGGATCATACTGGAAGGATACCCTGATGCATGTTCGCCACTTCAGGTGGATGGTGGTTCTGAGGCTGTTTTGACATGTGCCTGAGTCAGAGGTGGCTATCTAACACTTGTGACCGAAGTGGTGTTTCAGGAAAAATGCTTTCACATGTGCATGACAATGCCGGAAGGTGAGGCTGAAAGTTCTTCTGTTGGACACAGTGCTGTTGAGAAAGAACTGCTGTTGAGTGAAAGACCAAGAACACCCCTTCACAGAGGAGTTTGAGTAAACGAGTTTGTGGAATGCCTCTCTGTGGCCCAAGGCCTGCTCTTCGCTGGATGGATGCCACTGAGCGTGACGTGAGGCCTCCGAGAGAGCAAGCCTTTTTGGGCCAAGAAATGGCGGCGACTTCGCACGTCCTGAGCTGCGCTCTCGAGGCAGCTCTCCGAGACTTTGGACTTCCTGGAGGATCTCCTGGCACCCGGTGCTGAGGCGGCTGAGGGAAGGGCCTAGGTTCCGGAAGTCTAGTCTCGTCGTATTGGACATGCCCTGCCCGGCACATGTCGAGGATCTGTCGGAAGTGCTGGGTGGCACCCTCCGAGAATGCCAAGAGCTGCGGGACAGGCTGCAAGAGGCGGTGCCGGACATCTTGGATCGGGTGCGCCTTGGGACATGGCTCATTAGGATTAGGACATAATCAGGATTCGGGCTTTCTTTCGTTCTCTTTGATCAGGATGGTGGCGAGGCCACCTTCAACCAGATCGCGGCGCTGCTGGAGCGCATGGAGCGGGTCACGGACCAGTGGCAGGCGCGCGGCGCCGGCGCCACTGCGCCCAGCCCTCCCAGTATGAGTGCCCCACAAGACCGAATTGGCGCGCCTTCGCTGCCCGCCTCGGCACTGACCTCCGCGGCCTCCGGCTCCGTGCCGGCCATGGTCCCGGCCGGAACAGCCGCAGGAGGAGGCGGAACAGCCGCAGGGCCCCTGGCTCCTTCGGCGTCGCCCGCGCAGTCGCATGCTTCGGAAGACCTCTGGCGTCAAACCAGCGGTTTGGGAGGAGGGAACCTCGGAGAGAAGGAAAAGAAGAAGAAGCGGAAGGAAGGGAAGGAGTCCAAGGAGCCGAAGGATCTTGGGCCTGGGGATCAGGGCAAGGGGAGCGAAGATGGCTTCCCGGCAGAGGCCTCGGGCTTTGGAGCTTGGCCGGACTCCGGTGAGGCTTCCGCCTTCCCAGAATCGTTTGGTACACCCTGGGGCGCCCCTTTGGGCTCCAGCCCCGCTTTCGAAGCCTCGAACTGGGCCACTGCAGCCACCTCGGAGAGCCCTTTGGGCCCCGCCAACCCTGGCGCTTCGGGCGGGAGTCCCTTTGCTGCCTTCGGCTCAAGCCTGCCAGAACAACCCGCGCCAAAGCCCGGACCGGCGCCCACCCTGGCTCCGAGCTCCCTTCTCAGCGAGAAGGGAGAGATCGGAGATCCGAATGTGCAAGGGACCTTGGCGAGCCTTCACGTGGGATTCCCCTTTGCGGCCATCGAGGACAAAGAGGCCTTCGAGCGGCTCTTTGTCCGTGCCGCAGCCCAGGCTGCCGGGGTAGCACCAAGGCGCATACGAGTGCATGCTGTGCGTCCCGGCCCGGGCTACTGAGTCATCACCAGAGTCTCACCCTCGAGCCACCGATCGCCTTTAAGGTGCCCAGGAAAAGGGCGCCGCTGCACTCTTTTCAGCTCTTCAGCTCTGCATCAAACGGACCAAGAGCACCCACCATACTTGCCTTCCGCAGACCTGCAAGAAATGCACTCAAGAAGGGAACCTTACGTGGGGTGGGCTTCCGGTGCGGTTGAAAAGTGTCGAGGAGGCTTCTGCATGACTGTCAGGCCAAGCTTGTTAACACCGGGTTATCCCTCGCTGGGGGGGGCCATGTCATGGACTGGTCCCTTGGCGTCCACGGCCCGGACCAGAAGATTTATTGCCCAATGCTTGGATGTCCCACTGCGATCGGAGAAGGGAATACAGGCGTACCTTAGCCTTAGCGCTTTCAGGTGTCCCGGACACGGCGACGCAGGCAGCGCAGGACATCGCAGGGCAGCAGCAACGTAGAGCCGACCCTTCGTCAGGTGCTCTGCTATGATCCGCTCACAAAGCAGAGCTCCTGCTTCGGAGACTCCATCGATGCCCGCAGCTCGATGTTGGGAGCCTAGCAGCGGCTCCGCTCTATCGCTTTTGGAGAGAGCGCTGAGGTGGGCAGCCACAAGCGGTGCCCTCGAAGGGACGCGCCTCGCGGGCGCGCGCAAGCGTGGCGCGCAAGCTGAGCTAATTCCGAGCCTCTGAGGTGGTCGGGGGGCGTCTTGGCGAAGGACGGGAAGATCTACTGCGTGCCCTGGACCCATCCACAGGCCAAAAGTGCGAACAGCGCTGCAAGCAGCGCCGGACCGTTTTTTGAGGCTTGAGTCTTGACTTGTTCTCGCAGGTCCTGGTGATTGACTGCCTAGCCAAGCGGGTGTCTTTCTTGGACACCTCCACCGGCACGGGCTGCACCGCCGCCTCTCTTTCGGAGCACAAGTGGAGCCCCCGCAGAGAGCAGAGAGCAGAGAGCAAAGAGAGCAGAGCAGAGAAGCTTTAAGGTTTAGTCAGCAAAATAAAGCGAGAACTCTCCGCAGGAGAGATGGGATCCTCGCCGAGGCTCTGTGGCTCTCGCGGCCTCCCCGTGCGCTCTCCGCTCTCGCGGTCGTATAGCGGTCGTAGCTGCGAGGATGGCTGGGCCATTTACTGCATCCCCTGGACGGCGGAGGACGCCAATCTGGGCCGAAGCGAGGGAGACGGGGTTTCGGGATTTTGGTTGTGCCCTGGAGAGGCCGTGCTGCGCATCGACGTGGCCAAGGGCTCGGCAAGCTGCGGGCGGCCCAGGAGGGCCCACAGCCCCCCCCTCTCAGAGTGTGGGGTGGGTGCAGCGCCGCCTTCTTCTCCTGTCGAGGCTTCGGGGAGCTGCCTGCAAGCGACAGCAAGTGGGCAGGCGAGGAAGTTCGGAAAGCAGGTCTGAGCGCGGCTCTTTGCCTCTCAAGGTGCTGCGCTCGGCTGCGACGGGCGCATCTACTGCCGCCCTCTCAGAAGAGCCTCGGCCCGGCATCTTCCTTTATGGCCAAGCATGCAAGAGACCTGTAGAGGCGCCCCTTACGACTCGCCCAGTTGCCTGGTGATCACTCCCGGCCCGGAGCCCACGGCTTCGCTCTTGGGCCACTTCGGGGATTTGCGCAGGAAGTGGCCGGGGGCCCCAAAAGGCTCCTCCACTGGCTCCGCCAAAAAAGCGCGCGCACGCCTCCTTAGACCAGGCGCGGAGCCGTGGCCACTCCAGGCGGCGAGCAGATCTACATGGCAGCTTTGGCACGGAATACCCAACACCGTCCCCCTGCTCTCTTCTGTGTCTTGAGAGAATCTGTCCGTCTCTCTGAAAGCAATAGGAATTAATTAGCTCAAGTGAAGTGATAGCACCCGTGTCTCTCGTGGGCATCGAGAGCCCAGCCCCAACACAATCGCCTCGGAGTCTTACCGCAGAGGCCTCCGTACAAACTCTCTCTCTCTCTCGCCCTCGCCCTGATGGCAGCTCTGCAGTTCGAAGCCTTGCCTCATTCCATCTGAGATCCCGTACAACGCCCTGGAGGCGCGTGCGCCTGCGTTGGGACCCATGGGCTCAGGCTAGGTGCATGCCCGGCCGTGCTTTTTAAATCAACTGGAGGTGCTCCTGGTGGAGCCGGCCAAGGCAAGTGCGGCTGGACTCGCAGAAGCGGCTCCAGCAGCGCACCCGGCCAAGGCCAGGACGGCCAGAGGAGAGAGAAGAGCTGAGAGAGGAGCGCGCTGAACTGCCCTGCATGCTTTGAGGATGCTGCATCGCATGCTGCATGCTTTCAACTGCTGGGAGGTGTGCTTGGAGTCCGGCTGGGCTCAAGCGAGGGCTTTGGCCCGCTCGGGCGTGGAGCCCGAAGACCACCTGGAGCCGGAAGAAGAAGCGGCTCCGACGGAGTCCGCCGAGGCAGAGGCAGAGAGAGCGAAGTCCTGCTGATCTATTATGCCTCTCGCATGCTCTCGCAGTTCCAGAGGTCAAAGCTCCCTCTGCGCTTGGGTTCTCGAAGCTTGGCGACTTGGCGCTTGGATCTGCGCGTCTTTGCTTGTCAGCGGAGCCCGGAGAGTTTTTCTTCTGAGGCTGGGTCGGGGGCATCCGCCAGATGCCCAAGTCTCGCCTGTAGGCCATGTTGGGCTGCCTTTTTGGCCCCCATCGGCGGTGTCTCCAGGTTGCAAGTGGCGGGGTGGAGTCTTGGCAGCTCGGCTCCAACGAGAATCCGCCGAGACGTGTGTGTGTGTGTGTGTCTCTGTCTGTGTCTGTGTCCAACAATGAATCCCACTTTATCCTGCTTTCGGAAAGCCATCGCGAGGCCAAAGACGGCTGCATCTACTGCGTGCCCGACTGTGCCAGCGAGGCGCGCACTCGCAGCCAGCAGGGAGCCTTCGCAGACCTTGGAAGGGGGCCCCCCCCCAGGCGTCTCTGTTTTAGAAAAGACTCAGAGTATACTAGCCGAGCTGAGAACGGCGGCTCCGCTCCTCCGCATAAGGCTTGCAAATAGCAGGGGGGGGTCCTTCGCAGACCTTGAAAAGGGGCCTTTACCGAGCGCTCCTCCGCTCCTCCGCTCGGCAGGTGCTCTGCATCCGCCCGGCCTCCCAGGTGCGCAGCGGCTTTCGCTCTCGCTCTCTGACTTTTCGGCAGCCGTCCTTTCCGGTTCGTCCCTGCGCAGGACCTGGTGCTCTTCGGGGAGGCAGAGAGAGAAGGGGAAAGGAAGGGGCCCGTGATGATCTAATTTGTAAGTAATATTAGAGCGGGAGAGAATGAGAGGACCGCCGCGCAGATAGAGGAGAGGAGTGCGCCCTTTTTTTGCGGGGGGCTTTGTGTTACACCGGAGAGGTGGGCGCTGCTCGCTGGAAGTGGCGCGGGGGAGTCCTGGTCTGGGCCCCAAAGAGCCGCCAGCGCGCGAGCGGGGTGGGCCAGCTTCCCTCTCTGGCATCGGTGTCCACCTTCTTTTTGCGCCTTTTCGCAGCACTCTTTACAGGGCGGAGATGGCAAAGTCTACTGTGCGCGCGGAGCTCGGACGGACGGGCTCGGACCCTCGGACGCGCCAGTGCGTGCCGCTGCTCCGCGGGCCTTTTCCAGGCCCTACGAGGCCCATGAGTCTGAACCTCGATGAACAGCTTTGCAGACGGAGAAGCCCACGAACTCTAAAGGTATAGGTTTGCTTGACTCCGCCGTTGGAGCACGTCAGCTTGAGGTCGGTCTTGGTCATTGACCCGGCGACGCTGAAAACCTCGGCCTTGCAGGCAGGGGGCCCAAAAGGGGGCCGCAGCAGGGCCCACGGCCAGGGCGCAGGGCCTCTTCCTTGGCTGTGGGCGCTCAGGCGGCTCAGGGCCTTTCTGGCTCGCTGCCCGGCTTCCTGCAGACCAGCCAAGGCAGGAGATATGCGGCGGCTGAACAGCTTATGCTGTAGAAAGGGGAAGAAAGGGGAAAGAGAGAAGTGGGGGGGGGGGGGGGGGGGNNGGGCTGCCTGGGCCTGAGGAGAAGTGCTCACCATCCCCCACACTTGAGCTGAGCAAAAGCACACCCAAAGCGGTTGCAGAGCGCTCGAGAGCTCTTGAAAAGGCTCGCTGACGCCGTGCTCGAGAGATTGCAGTATTACACGATCCGACTCCAAGTGACTTCAAATGTGCTCAGAGCCCCGCTTTCTTCCGGAGTGCGACGGAGCTTCAAGGCTTCTCACGGGCCTCAAGACATGTCAGAAGAAAGAGAGAGCACTGCAGCAGTCAGTTCCAGGAGAAGTCTCTCTTACGCAAAGCCTTTCCTCCTGAAGGGGTGCCTTTGTCTTTCAACCTTGGGGTCCTGGATTCTGGGCTGCGCCGTCGCGTCGCTGTCGCGTCGCTGGTGGTGCCGTGCTCGGCTTCGCACGCCTTCGCAGTCTGCTTTCGCTGTGTTTTCCAGTGCAGGCTTCGCACGCTGGGCGATATGGCGGCCATCTCTGCACCGAAGCTGCCAATCCAGAACCGCCGGGCGGCCGAGACGAGCACGGCGACCGCGGAAAGTGCGAGTGCACTGCTGGCTCAGGTTCCACCATCTCTCCAGCCGGTCGCCCTGCATGCACCAAGCCGCTGCCCAAGAGCGGCGCAGGCAGCGGGCTGCTCTTGCAGAGTGGCGCTGGCGAGGTCTCCCATCGGGCCTAGCTCCCGGAAAGAGCGCCGAGGCGACTGTGCCAAGGCCGCAGTCCGCAGGGCCTATCAGCTTATCAGGGCAGCCGCGCAGCAGAGCCTATAGCTCCGTGCCAGGCTCGCTGGGCGGACTACACGCCGACGCAGTGGTCCCACGACTCCCACTCCCCCTGGCCCGAGGGTCCGCGCCAGCTTTGCTCGGCTCGCTGCTTGTGTGTTTTGACTTTTTAAAAATTTAAGCTAGGCTCTGTCACCGACCGGACTCTAAAGAGTCTAGAGTGCGCAGGGTACCCTGCAAATCCCACGGCGCTCATGTTCCTGCAGACCCCACCAGGCCGGGCTTCCGACACGCGACCCCCTATGTAATAGCTCCTCCTCTCTCCTTGAGTCGAAGTTGTCTTCGCGCAGAGGCCCAGAGAGGGAGCAGAGGGAGGCGCGCACGGGGGGCGGGGCGGCGTGCAGAGAAACGAAGACTGCGGCTCTTCGCCGACGTCTCGGCGACAGGCCCAGCTCTGGCCGGCGACGCCCACGCCTTCGGGAGCCGGAGCTGGCTGGGACCATTTTGGCCTCGGCCATGCGGAGAGGCGCCGGGCACCTCTTTTTTTTGCACGTCTATGCGGAGAGACGCGCGCGCGCCCGCTGGCTCCCGACTGCTCTATATTTTAAGCTGCTATATGACAAGAGGCAATCGGAGGCTCACGGCCCGGGCCCCCGCAAGAAGAGCGCCACGCGTGTCGCATCATGGGTTCCTTTTTTTCTGCGTCCGAGGCGAGGCGGGCGCGGCTGGGGCCGTGCCTTTGGCTCTCCAAGCTCCCGCTCGAGTGGCCCAGATGGCGGCGGCCGCGGCACACGCGGCGGCGGCGGCAGGCCCGCATGGCATGGCCTACACATGCATTGGGGGGGCCCATTGCTCGGAGCGAGGAGCCGCCGCGCAAGCTGCTGCGGCAGGCTCGAGAGCTGCACGGATGTTTTTATACGGTGGGCCGCTTCGCATCTCTCGCAGGAGCCCACCACACCGAGCTCCGGAATGGCACGACAGGTGAGACCGGACCCGGAGCCCTTGCTTTCCAGCCGCTCTTTGGCTTTGGCACCAGGTAAATTACCCGACAAAGCCGTCGGCGCCTCAGAGGGCCAGAGGGAGGGAGGGCTTCAGGATTCAAGAGTCATCTGCCGGGAGGTGAAGAGCACGGGCGCGAGCTTGTATGAGGATGGGAAAAGGCTCCCTCCGACACCCTTCTCGCCGAAAAGGAAGGCCTCAGTCTCGGTGACCGCTCCCGGGGTCCCCGCGATGGTGCACGCGGATCGACCGGAGACCGAGCAAGCGGAGACTCCGCCTTATCCGCCGGAGCCTCGGAGTTCATGGAGGCCGCGCTCGGATTCAGCGAGCTCGCCGCGCTGCGCGTGAGGCTGGAAGAAGCCGTGGCCGGCTGCCCGGCCCCGCTGGAGGCACAAAGCTCACAGCGGAAGCTTTATAGGCAAGCGCGGTTTCAATTTGTCCTTGTATCGAGAGGTCACGGGCGGGACGGTGCTTTCCAAGGGCTCCAGTACACATGGCAGTGGCAAGCAGGGGTCCTCAAAAGAGAGGAGCGGCTGCATTGCGGCGTTGCAGCAGTGATGCAGTTTGAGGTGTCGGCCATGCGCGTGGTTCTGGAAGCCGCAAGGTTGCCAGAACGACCAGGCAAGCCATGCAAGCCATGCAAGCCGCAAGGCAGGGCCCAGCACGCAAAAGAGGGTGGTCGGGTCTCAGGACTGTGGCTACTGCCACCTCTGCCCCGAAGGGGAGCTCAAGAACCGGAAGAAGTCCAAGGCGCGTCCACGTCCCGTCGCCTTGCTCCCCTATATTCCTGTTTCTTTCAGAGGTCGCGGCCATGCGGATGGGGGCCTTGGTGCCCGCGAAGCCCCTCGGCCCGCCCTAAGGCCCAAGCCAGGCCCAAACGCTCGTGTCGCGGAGGCTGCTCGTTTTTTGTTTGTTCTGGTTTGTTGTTGGTCCTTGGATCGTAAAGCGCTGGAAATCCCAGGAGCCAGAAAGCCAAGTTTCCGAGCGGGGCGAGGGTCTTAAAGCTCTCGCCCCTAATCTGCGCGGTGCCCAGATCCGGAGCAGTGATGTGCCATCATCTCTATACGACACGACGTGCAGGACTTCAGAAGCAAGTCAGTTTTAAGGACCACGTGCTGCATGCGCTTTCTGCCACTATCGCTCCAGTGCTCGCTTCTCGCAGGAGAAAAAGAATCCTTCAATGAGCTGCGCTGGCTGCGCTCCGCGCGTGCTGTACAGCGGCTTGAAAGCCCCGAATCAGAGGCACCTTCTTTACGCGCGGAAGAAGTGAGCAGCGAGCGATTTGCGACTGTGGCCTCCCCGACGCCCAACAGTGCTTTCCAGCGAAATCGGGCACGCATTGCGGCAACCACTTTTGACTTTCTTTTGGGCGCTCGGAGGAGACCGCAGAGATGCTGAGAATTGGTCCAAAGGAGAACCGTGCATGGCGGAGAGTCTTAGAGTAGCACGAGGCGGCGACCGCGGAGAAAAAAAAGGGGATCCTCTATAGGGCGCCATATAAGTTTCCTCTGCCCGCCGTGAGGTCATCTGAGTGGTCGGGAGGTTACTTGTAGGAGCTCCAAGAGGGACGCGGCTCAGAGCGAAGGGAACGGTTCCCGGGCCTTTCAGGGCGCCTGGAGCCCAGAGCCCTCGGCAGCCCTCGGCAGCCTTAAGGGACGTGTGGTGACCCGCTGAGGGTTAAGCGCACGCAGAGCGGCGATGGCCACCTCCAAGCCGGTGGTGCGACAAGTGGACATGGAGGCGTTGTGCTGCAGCGCAGGGGCGCGCGACTTTCTCCTTGTGGTCCTTGCGGTTTTTTGTTGGGCAGGCCGACATGTTGGAGTTCGCCCTGACCCGCACCATGCGAGCCCCCGCATGTTTACCGGGCAGCGGCCCTTTTCCCGCTCAGCCACTGAGTTTGCCGTGTTGGCCTGGAGAGGTTTTCCGGCTCAAGGAGCTCTCAAAGAGAGCTCAGGTTTCCCCCTGAGGCCTTGGCTCCCGAGCGATGAGCTCACTGGGCAGCTGATGGGCCTGCTGGAGGATGCAGGCGACGGGAGCAGCTGCAGAAGCCGCACACCCCACAGAGCCTTAATTGAGTCTTAACTTTCGCGCGCCTAAGACGCTTTTTAGGGGTTCCGGCCGCGGCGCTCTGCCACGCTTATAGCCGCTTAGCCACGCTTTGCTGTGCGAGGCCGTTCCAACTCCAAGGCCCGGGGCGCCGAAGGCGCCGGGGGCGGCGAGGGAGAGCGGAGAGAGCCGCCCGCAGCGTGCGCAGCGTGCAGAGTCTGCAGAGTGCATTAGAGTGCATCATAGCATCGCCACGGCGCAATTTGCCATGTTGCTCGCACATTTTGTGTGTTGCGTCACGTTTTGCTCTTGCAATGCGCAATGCGCTGTCAGCGAGGCTCCGCTTCGCGGCGGGACTCTTCCTTCCCGGCCACTCCCAACTCGGAGAGGGACGGGGGGAGGGGCAATGTGAGGCAATGCCGCAATGCGCACAACGCTCCTTTGTTCCTCGCTTTCTCAAGGCATCCTTGAATTGAATGAAGTCACCGCATAAGCCGTGACGTCTGGAAAACTTCTACAAGGAGAGGAACTAGACTATAGATGTTCGGTCTCTGAGCAAGCACCCTAAGCATGCTGCTAAGAGCCCCTTTCGCTGCTGCTGTTGATGCCAAGTCTTGTGATGCTGCTGCTGCTGCTACTACCACGAATACCACTACGGCTACGGCTCCATCTCCTACCCAGACTCCTGCAGCAATACCACCACTAGCCCCACCCGCCTCCTCCTCCCACTCTCACTCGCCACTTGTTGCTTGTACTACAACTGCTGCTTCTGCGACACCACCTTCATACTGCCGTCGCCAGTGTCGCAATATTAATGCATTTCCGGCATTGCTGCTACAGTGTTGAGGAGGATGCAACAAGGCGGCAGCGTCGGCAGGAGTTGAATGCCAAGGCTTCGCTCTGCAGGTTCAAGAATCGGGTTCTGCACAAAGATTCCCAAAGGTAGCCATAGGTAGCCTGCTGCGTAGATTCCATAGATGACCTACCCGTGCAGCTTCCAGATTCCAGCATCGTCTCGAGAAGCGGAAGCAAAGGGCCACGACAACGATGCAAACGGTTGTTGCAGGTGATGTTGTGAGTGTTCGCGCTTGTATTTGTGTGTGTCCGCTGTGGTCTCATCTGTGGCTTCTGGTGCCGTATGTGGGGAGGGGGGGTTTGGAAACGGAGGTCCAGGCAGCCCGGGCACTGCAGCTGGCGAGGCAGCACGAGATCCGCGTGGGCGAGGCCGGGATGGGGAAGGGCCAGTGTGAGGCCGCGCCGCGCTGCTCGCGCGCGCGCGCATCTCAGAACCCGAGGAGTGGAGCGAGCTGCTCAAGGTGCCCTCGAACCGGACTCCCGATGCGCTGCTCGGACCGGAGATCCTGCTGAGTTCCCTGCATCCCGAGGGCCGGGCCCCCGCGTCTGTTGCCCAGGATGATGAACTTCTGGGAGGAGGTGAAGGCACGGAGAGATGCGCGGCGCATGTGCTGCTTCCGGCCCTGGGCATTGCGTGCGGCAAGATTCGAGCGAAGAGAAAGATAGAAACGGGGGGGGTGGGGGACCTCAGCCCTGCCTGAATCATGTACTAGGTCATGCTTTTGCTTTTAAGCGCCGAGAGTCAGAGCGCAGATGCGGCTGCTGAAGCGCTTCGGCAGCCTCCACGCGGCCATTCAGAGCAGTGGCCCGGAGCCTATACATCGTGCCTGCTAAGAGGCGCGGCGCCGCCGCACTCCACGGGCCCGAGGCGAGTCCTCGGTGAGCTTCTTGAAGTTCTCGGATCTCCTGAAGCGCCGAGCTCGGCGCCAGAAAAGACAGAAGCGAACCCCTCCCCCCCCCCCACCCGACCCGCCGCCGCGCTCGCTGCTCCTTTCTCCAGGGCCATCCACTTCCCCTTGAACCAGAGCACCTGCCGGCACCTCTTCGGCCAGGCGCCGGAAGAAAAGGAGGGGAAACCGAGACCTGGCACAGAGAGAGAGAGCTTTCCCGGCTCTATGCGCGTCGCCGCCTGGAGGTCTGCGGAGGGCATCGGGAAATGCCCGTGGACTCCTTCAAGGCGCTGCTCATGGAGAGGCCAAGGGAAGGGGGGGACCCAAGCGCTTCTGCCGGGCGCTGCTCACGAGACTGTTTGTGCTGTACTGTAGGACCGTATAGAGGACGTGTTTGAACAATTGCCGCTCTTTTCTCGTTGAGTGCGTTTGTTTTACCACAACAGCACGGCGAGAGCTGGCTCGCGAGGACCATCCAGTCCATGCGCTTTGTGATGGAGGGCTGGAACGGCAAGCAGGAGGGTGGACGCAGCACGGAAGCCGCTTTTCGGTCCCAGAAGACACCGCCGCCTGGCTGGCAGAGGTGCGGTTGCAAAGCCACATCCGCAGCTTCATCAGGCACTATGGCACCGCAAAGGGGGCCGGGGGGCGCTCGCACGCCAACAGAAGCACCGCGATCTGAGCCTTGCTGTGTGCAGGCGCCTCTGCGAGGTGAGCACGGACTTTCGCGCCCAGGCCGTGGACCGCTTCCAGCGGAAGCTGCAGGCCCCATAGCCGCCGCCCTTGCCCGCCGCCTGCAGCAGCTCCCCCATTAACGTCGACACCTTGGGAGCTTCTTCGCCTTATAATAGAGAGTGTGCTGTGTCAGGGCAGCTTCCTGCGGGACTTCTGGCAGCTGCTCTTGAAGCGACTCGGAAGGCGCGCGGGCCGGGGAGGGGGGGGGCTTTTTTTGCTGTGAGTCTCTCTTTTTTGGCAACGCGCAGCCTCCTTCTCGCTCTCAGCACGCGGTCCGAAGACCTCACGGTGACCACGTCCTCCCTGCTTCGGGTGCTGGTGGACCCCGAGGCCAAAGGGCCCTCTCTGCACTCCCTCGGAAGTAAAGTTTTGTGTGCCTTTTTTGTACACGTTTTTGACCCTTTCACTCTGCCCAGGCCACATTGATCTTCCAGGTGGGAGCCGCGGGGAGGAGAGCTGCACTAGAGCGGCGGGAGCAGCGCGCCAGAGGACCACGAGGTGCTCTACATGCTCCGGATCTTCGAGCGCATGCAAACCTTTCGCCGTAGCCTTGGCCTCCTGGAAAACGCTTTGCCGCTCTGCCGGGAGCCCAGATTCGCTGCGTGTGCCAGACTTGTGTATTCATGCTTTCGCTCCGGAGCGTGCAAGCTTTTGTTCTTGACTCTTCTCTCGTATGCAATGGGTCTTGAAAGAGGACTTGTGGCAAGTGGCAACTGTGACTCAAAGACGCTGGCTCGCCACTGGCTGCGGCTCGCGCGCTCGTTCTCGACTTCTTCCTTTAGCTGAATGTTGCTGCCACTGCGGGCTTTCGCAACGAACCGTGGCTTCCGTTGCTACGGTGGGGGCACAAGGGCACGACCTGTAACTTAAACGCTGCACGCAAGAAGTCGCCGCTGGATGGTGCTGGGCTGCTCGTGTTACACTGCCACGGATTCCAGTGCGGAACTTAAGGTCCATGTCCAAGGCTGCTCGCCGACGAGCGAAACGGTTCGGCTGGGGACTGCAGTGCACAGGGCCGATGTCGATGCGGCAACCGGGTCCGTGCGTGCGGAGCAGGGCACGCCAAGCGTCGCCCGAAGGTTGGGCCGCACAGGGAGAAAGCCGCACGCCTACGCAGAGAAGTGGAGCGCATGGAGTCTGAATTCAAAAGCAGCTCCTTCTCAATGTCTCGATGGGTGTTGGGGAGTTTCTAGCACGGCGACTCTGAATCCAAGCAGCGACGTCAATTCCCAAACGGCAGTAGATTGCTTTCGATATGTTGCGAACTCTCTCTCTCTCTCTCCCGCTCTATCTCTATCTCCCATGCTTCTGCCTCTTCCGAAATTGTGGTCAGCCTCATGAACGGGTCCATGACCTAACAATATACAGTTACAGGAGTCAAGTTCTTTCGCACGAGTTTTGAAGTGAAGAAGTCATTGCCAAGGCTCTCGCACAACATAGCACAACACTGTTGCTGAAGTTGGCCTAAGCCTTCTTCCGATAGCTCAGGTTCGGGGGGGGGGGGGGGGGGTGCTGGCGGAGAGCAGAGTGGCTTTGCTTGCGCCGCCACGCCGAGGCCACTACTTGGCAGGTTTGGCCCTGGTGAGCGGCATGACGAAGCGAGAGAAGCTGACGCTGATCTTCGAGGAACTGAGCTTAGAAGCGTGCAACATAAGCACAGAGAGAGCGAGCGGGCCTGGCCCCAGTCAAGTCCTCGAGTCCGGTCGGAGAGGCCTTCGACAGCGATTACGACCACTGCCTCCTCTACAGCCAGGATGGGAACGGATTTCGGGGGCGGGGAGGGGAGGAGGCGCCCGTGACTCTCTCAAATCCGCCGCACATCTCTCAGGTGCACGAGATGTGCCATTGCATCTGCGTCCTCAAGGCCAGAAGCATAGTTCAAAGAAGACGAGGCCACGTCTCCTGGAGAGCTTCGAAACAGGGTCTAAGAATGCCTAAAGTCATGGTGGAGGAGCCCCGAATTATACCAGCGACTCCGCAGCTGCACGCAGCTCTCCCGCGCGCTCTGTGAGGAGAGCGCTTTGCCCCGGGGCCGCCCCGCGGAGGACCACTTCCAGGCCGAGCTCTCGCAGCAGGCGCAAAGGGCCGAGCGCAGAGCACGGAGAGCCCAAAGAGCAGAGAGCGGCGGAGAGAAGAGCGGAGCGGGGAGCCCTCTGCCGCCTCTGCTCGCTGCGTCGCTGCGCCTCGCTCCGCAGGAGGGCTTGCGCTGGTACGAGAGCATCCGCTGGCACCTGCAGCGAAGCGGATCCGTTCACGGCGACATCGTCAGGTCCTCGAACCAATTAAATCTCGCCTCGAGGTGTAATTACTCTCTCTCTCTCTCTCTCTCGAATGAAGCGGAACCCACAAAGGTAAATTCAAGGAAGTGAAAAGGAAAACGTATCACTCGTTTAATTTGGTCTTTTTGCTGCGAGCGAAATAAGAACAGAAAGAAAGCACTGAGTACATCCACTACATTCTGTTTGTCCGTCCATCTTCATTCCTCACGTCCTCGCAGCGGTTTCTATCTCATCTCGTTCGTCCCTTGCTGTGTCTAAGTCTAATTCAAAGAAAAGCGCATTCCACTCTATTCCGTTTGTTTTGTTTCCATGAAACACAAGCAAAACACCCTCTGCATCTGTGATTATAAGGTGCACGAGGTGAACCAAGCAAAAGACAAGAAGAGTCTCTCTTTCTCTCTCTCTCGCTCTCGCGAGCAGCACGGGTCACACTCTGGCAGAGCGCTGCCTGCGCTCTCAGGTCAGCTTGCCGGAGCTCTTCGAAGCCTTGGACACTCAGCCCGGGCTCTTGCTGATGCCAGGCACGGCCGCACGGATGGCCGAGCAAGTCCGCGCAAGCGGCGAGCACGCAAAAGCACTGCCACGTCCAGGCGTCTGCCGCATCCGCTGGGCAGCCGAGGCGCGCGAGCTCACAGACGAGAGACCACAAGGGCCACACGGGCACTCGCGCGCGAGTTGTTGTTTTTTTTAAATATGTGAAGCCTCACTAAAGCTCCGTACCGGGTGCTGCCAACATCGGAGACAGCTTTGATGGATGTAACTGTGGTTGACTCTTGACTTGTGCTGGGGTTTGGGTCTCCCTCACTCCTTTCGATTCGGCCTGCGTCGCAGACTCCGGAATGAGGACCCCCCCTCTCTTGATCTGTCTGTGCCATAACAGATCGCTCGCAGTGGAGAACACCGATGAATTCCATCCAGGAGATGTTCGTTGTGTGTGTGGATACGGAGTATATGATGAGCACGATGAGGAGCAGCAAAAAAAGCAACGGAATGCCCGCGCCAAGCCACAGAGGCCGCTCCCGGAGAGGACCTGGAGGAGGCCGTCAGAGCAGCCGCCGCGGAGCTGCGCCAGGCAGGGGAGGGGAGATTTGCCGGGCGGGGGGGGCAGAGGCTCTCTAGATCTGTAGTCTGCTCTTTCCCAGGCAGTGCGAGGCCAGCACCCCAAAGCCCAAAGCTTCTTTTTTTCTGCTCCCGTCGCCCGTCTGCACACCACAGTCCCAGGCCCGACGAAGCGGCGCCCAGCCGTGGATCTCTCAAAGCTCCGCAAAGGAGGCGCCCTGCCGTCACTGCCCGTCACTCGTCTCCGTCTGTGTCTCTCCCTGTCTCGTCCGTCCGTGCGTGCGTGGGTGTGCCTGTGTGTGTGTGTGTGCGTGCGTGCGTGAACGTCCTTGGCACATGGAAGCTGAGGGTCACTCCTACATTGGCTTTAAGCGCGCAGGGACGTGCAGCACCTTTGGCATACTGCAGGCAACGAAGCTATCGCCAAAGGTGGGAAGGGATCAAGCACACTCGATCCTGTACCTGCAGCAAAGTTTGTGGCATCCGAATGGTGCCATCTTGTGATGGCGTCGCTGCACAAACATAGCAACTGCAGCCAGCTCGCAACAGCCTCAGGTTAGTGCCTGCTTCACAGCAGCGTGGCTTCTGTGAAATAAACAACAATGACAACAACGACACCCCGCCTTACCCCTCGTGCTCTGGCCGAAATCCCACAAGTGTGGATCATAGGGTCCTGGGGATGCGTAAAAGCGGCTTTCCGTCATGTCGCCGTGGTGGCCCTGCAGGGTAGCTGGCCAGGAGCCAGATATCGGGTTCATTCTTTGGACTGACGGGTTGACACTCCCAGGCATCTATTCTATACCGGCTATCCGGACTTAAAAACGGGCATCGGAACAACAGTTTGAGAGTCTCCTGCCACTGCATAGTGATATAAAGAAAGGACGCCTTCTCTACGTACCTACCAGGTGCAACCGATTTCAGCATCAGTTGTCTGCAGTGAGTGCTTTTTAGGATTTGCATTGGTTCACTGCCAATGTGGCTTGATGTCTTCACCACTGTAGAGAAAGTTCATCAAATGTCAAGTCGAACCAGAGGGCAGAGGGAGGATTGCACAGGTATATCATGCGGACATGTAATCAGCTAGCACAAACGGCATCCATCTAGGTAAGGATGACTGGTCTGCAAGTGTAAGTAAGTGTGTGTGTGTGTGTGTGTCTGTCTCCGAGAGTGGGCCGCGGGATTGAAAGCCCCGTGCGCAGTGACCCTTCGTTGAAGCTTTTGCGTAGGGTGCATGCTGAGTTTTGTCGTTTGCTTGCTCAGAGTGGTTTGATAAAGTATCGGCGGGGAAGGGGGCGTCATTTGTGTCTTTTTTTCTATCGCTTGCATTTTTATTTTCGGTGTCGCTTGTGTTTTTTTCTAGTGATCTAGTGGTTGGGAGCCACCGTCTCGAAAAAGAGGGCTTCCGATAAAGCATGAGCTCAGTTAAATAAACACGTACGATTCACGCGCTCATGTACAGTATCTGGACAGTCATGTTGCGAGCAGTGCTGCTTGAGCCGAACACGTCAGCACAACCTGACACGGCAGCACAACTTGGACTTTTTTTGGCTCAATGCACAACAGTCAGATAACAGTCATACTGTTTGTGCGGTTGGGCCCGTCAAACAAGTGGTTTACAGCCTCAGCGTAGATAGCTGGAACCACGCTGTGGTCGTCAGTGAGTCTAGAGCCACCTGCGAGGCATAGACGAGTGTGCTCCGCTAGGGTTGAGCTTCATACTTTGACAAGCCCTTGCCGGTCGGTCAAGGGTTGCTTTAGCCGCCAATCCATATTTTGTGCTGCTACCCCCTCCTTTGTGCCAGGCCCAAGCGCTGAGGTTGATTATTCCTTTTTTGTTGCTACTTCACATTCCATATCTGCTCCTATCCAGGTGACCCCAGCAATCACGCAGAACCCAGCAGATGAAGAACCCACTTGCTTTGAGCGTTCTCGTGATCTTCTGTGTGATTGTTGTGACGAGATTAGATTGGTGCGGTTGAACTCGATAAAAGCCCCTTTCTTGGTCTTTCAAGCACGAGCGCGACGCTGCAAGCTGTCTAACCGAGAGACAGATTGAACCACTGCAAGTGTCAATTGCGCTGCTGGGCAACCAGCGACCACAAACAAGCTGATGCCTTCACCAAGAAGGGCCCTGACTGCCGAGTAGGAGTTTCGAAGTGATCCATAAGATTTGATCCATCCTTCACCGCTGCCAAAAAGGGGCAAGAAGCTTGGAAGATTTGCCGTCACCACACTGAGAGCGAACCCCTAACATCTTGGGGTTGGTGCGCTTCTGTTTCGACGATGCAAATTCAGTTGTGCCGTGTTTGAGGTTCATCAGACAGGGCCGTGCTTTTTGGAGGATAGTCCGAAGATCTGAGACTTGAGCAATCGCATCAAGCTTGTGTGCTCGTGCCAAGGGGTGAGCGTGTGCGCTCATTGATCACTACGTGCCTTCTTCAGTTTGTGTGCCTTTTCTGAGCCCAATACTGCCTATCTAAAGTATCATGCAGAGCTCATGCAATGAAAGCTCACAGCAGCGCCTCTTTCTGCGCAGCAAAGTGCGGTCTTGAGCCGCGCATGTAGCAACGTGAACTCCCCCTCTCTGGGGGTGTGTATATTTCAACAGTGTGGGTGCGTGCATGCGTGCCTGCATGTTGGGCGGCAGATCTGCTCTGGTCAGGTGTCGAGGAAACCGAGGAAGCCGAGATGGATTGGCCACTTGTCGCAGTTTCGTGCGCATTTTTGGGCATGGCTTTGTGGCTAAAGGCTAAAGACACGGCATGACCATTGTAGACAGTGGCACATGAAATGGCGAGTGAAACAAGACTGTGGCCATGGATTCTGGCCATCTGCCCAGCCAGAAAGCCACAGCAGGGAACTGCGCTCGTGTTGTTGTCGCAGTGAATGGAGGCGAAGCTTCGAGAAAGGACGCTGCAGTGGCCGGTGGCGACAGACAGTTTGCTCTTTTTTTTCTGGCGCATGGTCTCGAGGACCTCCTTGCGGGAAGCACAGTGAGTCCTACATCTTCAAGACCGTCTTGACGGAAAGGACGCGGTGAAGCAAGAGTCTATAAATCATATAGACAAGGTGCCTCACACATTTGCCTGCGCAGTGCGATGCGCAGGTTTGCCAAGTCTCTGCGAGACCTGGGGAGCCAACGCCTGGTGCGCGCCGCGGGGAAGCCAGGCCTGGCCTGGGAGCACCGCTGGCTGCAGGAGCAGCTGACGCAACCCGCGCCGTCCGTCCTCGCTCCCGCACAGTCCGAGGAGAGGGGCGCTTGTGGCGGTGGCGGTTGTGGGATTCCAATGTGCTTTCACACCGCAATAAGCTTTCTCTAGTGACCTATTCCTTCTGACCGTGAGAGGAGCCTCGGCGAGGACGCGCGGCTTCCGGAGGGGGTGTTGGTGTTCTTGTTGTGGCGGGGGGGAGGCTTCAGCCCTCCGCTGCAGGAGGCGAGCCTCCAACTGCCATGGCTTTGGCACCTTGGCGGCCAGAACGCGGAGTGTTGTTGTCTTTGGCTGTGAGAATGCGAAACGAAGACTCAAGGATCTTTCCCCGGCTCCGGCCCGTGCCCCAGAGCCTTTTTTGAAGAGAAAACAAGCAGGCAGAGGCAGGTGCTCTGTGCTCTCTTTGCATCTCGCGAATCTCGCAGAGGTGCCGAGCCTCGCCCGCGCTTCCTCGGCGCCCTCCCTGGCCGCTCCCAAGGCGGCGGACGGCGGACGCGCGGCTTCCGCTGCGCTGCGTTGAGCGGACGCGCTCTTTTATCCGAGAGGCGGCGGCCCGGGGCCCTTTCTCGCCTTCTGCGGCACCGCCGCCGCCGCGGCTGCAGACCGCGTCAGGCCCGGTCGGTCTGGAGGTGTCTTTTGGCCAAGGGGTTTCTTTCCTGCAAGGTGCTACCAGGAAAGACCTCCGGCAAGGGCCTTGGAGCTTTCTTGGGGGCCCCCTTTGGCTTTCGAGGATCTCAGCTGACAGGAGGGAGGGAGACCTGGCGTATATACCTCAACGCTGGGGCGAGGCACGATTAATATCATTAATATGGGAGTCTCAGAAGCAGTCTGGCGAGCGGTTGGATTGACGCCTGAAGCAGGCAGCGGATCGCTTCCGGATCTATGCCGCTGCTTCTCGACGTTGACTTCACACGCCTCTTCCTCAAAAGTGAGCGGCTGCTCAGCTCCTGAGTGCTTTGAGGCAAACACCGGGGAAAGCCAGGACTTGCGTCTGCGTCAGAGGCGCGATTTTACTTGCGGAAACTTGCAAGAGAGAGTCGGGGGCGCGGTGCTACCGCCGGATCAGGCCCGACCCTGGGCAGATGATGCCCTACAAGCCGCAAGCCCAGCTCACGCTGTGGGACTTCTCTTGCCTTCTGGAATTCCCCGGCCGTCCCCGTCCCCGTCACTGAGGTGCAAGTTGTGTTTGAGATCCCACAAGCTCTGCCCCGGACACGACATCTTGAAGTGAGGCGTTTCACCCTGTAGCGCCATCTCCGATGCTGAGACAGGCTGCTTAAGACGCTCGGATGCGGGCACAAAAAAATCATCGGATGGTGCAAGCTGCCAGCTGCTGCCAGCTAGCACTCCAGACGCCAGGATCGCGATGGATAAGCACAACCTGGAGAAGGACATCGCCTCGGACTTGAAGGAACAATTCGAGACTGAGTCCACGGCTCGACCCGTTCCCCCCAGAAAGCCCCGAAGGACCCCCCGATTCCACTCAGGTATGGCCCCACGTGGCATTGCATGGTCGGCCGCCACTTCTCTAGCTACGTGCATTCCTGAGCTGTGAGCAAGCTGAGTGTTTGCCACGCTGACGGTGGGCCATCTTACAGGTAACACACGAGAAAGCCTGCTACTGCCGAGCTCTTTGACAACTGCTCCCGACCTGATCCCACCCCCCGAGTTTGGAACCGAGGCTACTTCTACATCGGTCAGATGGGTCCATTCCCCGGAAGCACCGAGTCAGAAGTGCACAGAGAGCATGGTTTTGCATTGAGGCGTGATGCTGTTCAAGACCCCCTGAGCTAGCGTGGCCTGAGCCGGTTGTCATCAGACGAGATCTAGTCTCAGCTTGCTCTGCGATGGATGCGCTTTCCAGTTGTGGGCTTGCGAAGTTTCACAAGGAATTCAGATCCCTGGACTGTGTTCTGCCACGAAAAGTCTCCGGGGTGTCGGGAAGTACTCTGTCTGTCGCAGCTTGTTGTTGCAACTTCGCTGATGTACCTTTCCGACGGACGTACGTGCTTGTGTTTGGCTGTGCATGGACGGAAGCAATGTTACACTAGCCTTTGCCGCATGTGCGATCATCCTCAAGACTTTTAGCCGGCTGTCATTTTCTTGTTGAGCCAAGCATGGCACAGCTAGCAACGAAGTTGATGTGCTCTGCTTTTCATGGGGCGTCTTGCAGATGATGCCGCTGGGACTCGCGGTAATCATTGTCTTTTCTCAGCCAGGTATCCTGTCTCACGAGACGCCGAATACTTGCAACGCAGGTGATGTTGGTGTTGCGGATCCTGACCCTGTACGGCCGCCGCGCGTGAAATCTGGGCAGCTCTCAAGGTGTCATCCTACAGACTTGCCCAACATGGATGAGAAGGCTGCCCACAGCATACGATATCGGGCTGCATTAAATAACCAAGGACTCAATGAGGACTCACACAGGGGGCTGTTAAGCTCTGGTGGCTCTTGTTTCGCGGAATCTAATAGACAAGAGCTGGGTTAGGTAAGCAACATTGCAGACAGGCTGTTCGGTTTGTCCGCACGCTGAGTACCCAACCCCTTCGGTAGGTCCTTTGGTCTCGGAGCACGATGGCAGCCGCGCTTCAGCGACATTGAGGCTTCCTTGGGGTTAGTGCTTGCCTTTTGCTGGGCGCTATGTGGTTGCCTCTTCGGCAGTCGCTTCGGCGCTGACCGGGGAGTGCTTTCGGTCACCAAGCTTGCCCCAGAAGCCCTGTTGTGGCTGGTTGTCAGCGGAAGAAAACCTTGTTTGTTCGTGCGTGTTGAGGGCTTCGGTCACAAAGCTTGCTCCAGAGATCAGCTGAAGAAAAGTCTTTGGTCTGAAAGTCTTTGGTCTCAATGGCTTGGGGCAAACTTCCAGACACCAGAGGTGAAGCCTCCAATCCTTGCGCTTCCGGATTTCGAAGTGCCACCGGGAGGTTTCAACGTTGAGTCACCCACCACCACCACCACCTATTTTACGCAAGCGCCCGAATTGCATCTGGGTCCACCATAGTGGCGATGACTCAGAGCCAAAACAGGTCTTTACTTCTCATAGCTTGGACTCAGTGCCGTGTTGTGCCCAAGAGTACGTGGATAAAGCGGGCCAGCCATACGAGCTGCATCTGGAGGCGGATGTCTTCGGCGACCAATGATTTGATGGGTTTGTGTAGAAGGCAGCAGCCCTGCATCCCTTTATAGCGATTGGGTGCAGACTGCCACGACCATGCGAGGTAAAATTGTTGGGATGCATCCGTTGGCATTCTGGCAACGTCTTGGCTCCATACGGTAGCCTACAGCTGCAATGCCTGCATTTGCAGGTGGCCCTCGTGGTCCTCTGGCAAAGCACCGTCTGAGCCTCAGGCACCTCCACGCTTCGCGCTGTCGCTTCCGGCGGCTCCTGTGCGATGTATCCTGCGATCTAGGAGTCGGGGTATGGGCACCGTGGCATTCTTCGTTGGTTGCGTGAACTGTCGATTCACTCGTGCTTTTCCGGGCGAGTCAGTGCTGAGACGAGCGGAAGGGCTGGAGGACGTGGGTGAGCTTGGGAAGACATGCTGTCCGCTTCGCCGATACTGCCCCTGCTTCTCGTGTTTTCCGGTCTTTCCACTTTGATTGGATCGACACACTCGCTGACTATCGACGCGATCATGCGGGGTGATGGGGGTTGCAAGTCCGATTTTGAGACAGAGGCTGGTGCTGCGACCGCAGAAGGAGGCAGGGGATCGCAGTTTGCTCGGGCACTTTTTCTTGCCCTGCACCATCCCACGGCTTTTCACTGTCGTTTCGAAGCAACTGCATTTCAGATGATGGGAATCTTCTGCAGTCCGGCCGTGAGCTAGCCAAGTCTGTGCCTGAAGGCGAAAGGAGTCGACCGGGTTTGACAAGGCGTTGCTGGTGCTCCGATGCACAGGCATTTCGACTGCTAACATTATCTTTCTGTCCGATGTCAAGCTGCTGCAGCTAGGGATGCAAAGGCATGGGTTCTGCAAGGGTGTTGTTGATGTATACCGTTCACTGGTTCACCGTATAAAGACATATATATATATAATATGTAAGACAAACTTTTAGGGAGAATGTGAACGCCTAATTTTGGTTCAGCTAGTTTCGCTAGTTTGATTACTTTAGCTAGTTTGCTTACTTTCGCTAGTTTGGCAAGTTTGGCTACTTTGGCAGGCTTGAGCATTTTGACTAGTTTGGCAAGTTTGGCTAATTTGGCTGGCTGAATAAGAGGCCAAAGCAGCCAAACTAGCAAAACCTGCCAAAATTGCCAAACTGGGCAAAGTAGCCAAACCTGCCAAAGCACCCAAACCTACCAAACTAGCCAAAGTAGGCAAACCTGCCAAGGTAGCCAAACTAGCCAAACCTGCTGAAATAGACAAACTAGCCAACGTAGCCAAACTAGCCCAACCCGCCAGAGTAGCCAAAGTAGTCAAATTTGCCAAAGTAGCCAAACTTGCCAAACTACTAGCTAAAGTACGCAAAGAAGCCAAACTAGCCCCAAACCAGCTAAAGTAGGCAAACTAGCCAAAGTAGCTAAACATGCCAAAGTAGCCAAACTAGCCAAAGTAACCAAACTAGCTAAAGTAGGCAAAGTAGCCAAACTCGCCAAAGTAGCTTAACTGGGCACAGGTTTGGCTATGTTGGCAGGTGTGAAACTAACTGTACTCCGCCCGAATCTGCCAAGCATGTGTGAGTTCTGTGCTGAACCAGTCGGTAGTCTCAAACAGTGCTGCGAAGCTTGACAAGACGTTTCTACTGCAGGGCCCTTGGGTCGAGCACAAGGAGCGCGCGCCCGCGCTGAGAGTTAGCTACGTATCGCAGCAGGTTTGGCTACTGTGGCAAGTTTGGCTACTTTGGCAGGTTTGGCTACTTTAGGAAGTCTGGCTAGTTTGGCGACTTTGGCAGGTTCGCTACTTTGCCTAGTTTGGCTACTTTGGGTACTTTGGCAGGTTTGGCTACTTTAGCTAGTTTGGCCAAAGTAGCGAAACTTGCCAAAGTAGACAAACTACCCAAAGTAGCCAAACCTGCCAAAGTAGCAAAACTAGCCAACATAGGTAGACTAGCCCAAGTAACCAAACTAGCTAAAGTAGCTATACTACTCAAAATAGGCAAACTAGTTAAAGTAGCCAAACCTGCTAAACTAGCCAAACTAGCCAAAGTGGGCAAACGAGTTAAAGTATGAAGCGTAATGAAACGAATCAAACTTGAAGCATTAATGAAACCGACTTGTAGTTTCATGAAGCAAATTTGAACAACAAACGCGACGTTTTGGAGCGA